AGATTCCATCCTTTAGTTGTGACATATGTGCAAGGATGATTAGGATTAGGGCTTCGGTTTCAGGGTGATTGAGAGCAAGAACCCAGATTGGCCAGTTGGTACGTACGTCGTGTCTCCATCCGGCTGGCGGACTCACACCCGACTCACTGAGAAGGACTTCAAGGCTGATAACTTTTTCCAGAAGCCCATGAAGCTGCCAGAAATGGGAGACTTGCCCAAGAGTCTTGGCTTAGGAATTCTGGGTATGCCTGGGTAAGTTGGTATGGACCTTTTAATGATACGTTCATGATGAAAGTAGGGAAATCATTGTGTGAACTTTATTAATTGGTGGGTAAGTGTATTTTCGCAGAACGAGTTCGAGTCCTCTCTGATTAAATATTCGTACGCACGCGCACGCGTGTGTGTGTATTACATTACATATTACATATATAAATATAAATATACATTATTATTACGCCTAGGAGCATAATTATTAAATAATTAGTTATATCACATCCTAGTAAAGGCAATCTTCTTCCCACACAGAAATACAGCTTACTTTGGGTTGCTTGACATCTGCCAGCCAAAAGCTGGAGAGACCGTACTGGTAAACGCTGCAGCTGGGGCAGTTGGCAGTGCTGTCATCCAGATAGCAAAGATCAAGGGTTAGTAAAAATAACAACAATAATAATAATTAGATCAAACATATATTTTTATGGGAAACCTGTACTAGTTTTCTTTTGATATATCCTAAAAGAGATATTACTTTTTAGGTGTGAGGATAGAGAAGTTACAATCTTTATGGTATTTATATCAAAAAGATGAAATTAATTCAACGTAAATGGTAGTTTGAAAAGTTGAGGTCCAAGTCAGTTGAATCCCAAACCAAAGCAAATTAAAAAGAACCAAAACAGAATTTTATGATGAATCAGAGCAGCGGATTCACTGATCATGTTTACAGATTAAAGTTGATGATTATTCGATGTTATAAAAATCTTTTAATCCATTCCTGTCCTCCTGCTAGGCTGTAAAGTAATTGCCTTTGCGGGTTCTGAGGAAAAGGTCGCTTGGACCAAAGAACTTGGGGCAGACCATGCCTTCAACTACAAAACGACCGACATCGGGCAAGCGCTCAGCCAGGCAGCACCAGAAAAAATTCACTGCTTCTTTGAAAATGTAAGTTTTGACACGTTACGTTATTCTAATGCATAGAACCAATGGAATTCGAATGCTTACTATATCTGTGACTGTATAGCCTATAACAGAGGCACATTTTTATATATGTTTAAAAAATAGTTCCCTCCGTTGAAGCCTTCTCAAGTTTTTGGATATTGGATGAATCTATTATCTTTAACTTTTACTTTGGAACATACCATATTGATATTAAAAATATATATGTTTTTTCAAATCACAATTATAAGTTTTCAACTAATCCTAATCTGTGTTGTTATCCTTATAATTTAAGGTTGGAGGCCAATTCACAGCTGAAGCCCTGCCTCATATGGCAGAGAGGGGCAGGATGGCAATATGTGGAGTCATTTCAGAGTACAATGACAACGACAAAGATATTGGGGTGGTGTCAATGTGTAGTAAGTTCTACTTTCATGCCAGTTTTTCTCTCTCATGTCATTTTTCTTAAGTAAATTAGGGGGTCAGCAGAATTGCAGCTGACTCAAGCCGCTATAATTCACAGTTCAAAGTTGGTTAAACTATTAAATCACTTTCCGCACTTGGTTAGAGAAGTCTATATGATACCTGTGGAAACGTTTTCACTCCTAAGCGTTAGTTTGAAAAAAGAAATGGATGTTTTTTATGATTATGAAACAGAAATGAAAACTAGAGGAAGATTCCTATAAAGTGATGGCAGAAATTACATGTATACATGAAATGATGCCTGTACAGCAATCAACGAAGCGGTTTATGGGACATTTACCCATTTTCTTCGTACACAAAAAGGCGTTGAAACTGCTTGGTTATCCAGTCATCATGCAGTAAACACGCTCTGCCCTGGAACTTGACAGACCCTTTAATAACAGACACTGAATAAGGCTTAAGGTTTCCCTCATCTTATCATCATTAGGCGTTAGAAAAATCAGTAAATGCAGTACTGAAGGGATCTTTCTAGGATAGTAAATAAAACTGAGAACGATGCAGTTGTTATGAAAATATAATTGAGTCGCGAGTCTGTGGAAGTACTGGGTTTGTTGTAGTTCAGGTGATTCTTATTTATTTATTATTATTATTATTTTTGTGTTATTTTGTTACTGGCATTATCCCCAGCCTCAACTCAGGGCAAAAGGTTTAGATAGGGAAGCAGGGTAAAAAATCAGGGAACGATCGAATGAGTATGTATAAGCAAGTTCCATAATTCTATTCATTCTTTTTCTGTTACAAGAATACGATTAATTCGTGGAAACAATGGGTATTTACAATATGGGACTGAAGACGCTAGAGGGCCAGCTGTGAGGTGGGATCTACTACATACCTTTCCCTAGAATCCCTACCCACTGTACGGTAGACT